AGCTGTAGACATGGTCTAAATGGTCTTCAGCAAGACGCTCAAGAAGGTTCTACATGGTAGACTGGTTGGCAAGGTTGGATCATATTGAAACCAGGGGAGCTAGCTAATTGGATGCAAAATTGGCTTGAAGCTAGGAAACAAAGGGGGGTGGGGAGGGTTGCTTTTCCGACTGGAGGCCTGTGACCAGTGGCGTGCTGCAAAGATCAGTGCTGGGTCCACTGCTTTTCATCATTTATATAAATGATTTGGACATAAATATAGGAGGTATGGTTGGTAAATTTGCAGGTGACACCAAAATAGATGGTGTAATGGACAGTGAAGAAGGTTATCTTATAACACAATGGCATCTTGATCAAATGGGCTAATGGGCCAAGGAGTGGCAGATGGAGTTTAATTTAGATAAATATGAGGTGTTGCATGTTGGTAAGGCAAATCAGGGCAAGACTTAAACAGTTAATGATAGGGCTCTGAGGAGCGTTGATGAACAAAGGAACCTAGGGGTGCAGGTGCATAGTTCCTTGAAAATGGAATTGCAGGTAGACAGGGTAGTGAAAGGAGGTGTTTGGCACGCTTGCCTTCATTGGTCAGTGCACTGATTACAGGAGTTGGGATGTCATTTTCTGGCTGCACAGGACATTGGTTAGGCCACTTTTAGAATACTGCGTTCAATTCTGATATCTCTGCTGTCGGAAAGATGTTGTTAAACTTGAAAGGATTCAGAAAAGATTTACAAGGATGTTGCTGGGATTGGAAGGTTTGAGCTATAGGGAGAGGCTGAATAGGCTGGAGTTTTTTCCCTGGAGTGTCAGAGACTGAGGGGTGACCTTATAGAGGTTCATAAAATCATGAGGGGGCATGGATAGGGTGAATAGTCAAGGTCTTTTTCCCACGGTAGGTGAGTCCAAAACTAGACAGCATATGTTTAAGGTGAGAGGGGAAAGATTTAAGAGGGACCTAAGGTGCAACTTTTTCACGCAAAGGGTGGTGCATGTATGGAACGAATTGCTAGAGAAATTGGTGGAGGCAAGTATAATTTCAACATTTAAAAGATATTTGGATGGGTACATGAATAGGAAGGGTTTCAAGGGATATGAGCCAAATGCAGGTAAATAGGACCAGATCAGTTTAGGATATCTGACTGTCATTGACAAGTTGGACCGCAGGGTCTGTTTCCATGCTGTATAACTCTAGGACTCTACGACTCTTAGAACTCTAAATTCAATTCATCTAATTTTCCTAAAATTAGAATTCAGAAATGATAAGATTAAAAAAAATCTGCCACTGGAGAAAGCTACTTGGCTTGTGATGCCTGTGCTGTTGCTCATTCTTCAACTGTAACTTTCTAAGCTTATTTCTCTGCTCTCTCGTATACTCATTTTTATTCCACTGTCAAATCTTTATCCAATTATTTTAAACTTAGATATTTATGGATAATCATTCTATATACAAACAACCTAGTTTCTGGAAACTGTATACAACATCCCAATGATTCTTTTAGCATCAATTCAGGGTTCATGTGCCCACGTGACTTGATTCATCAACTAGCAGATATGTTTCTCAGCTCTTTTCAGAAGCTTTCATGATTTTGAAAACTGCTATTAGGTTCTTTTTAACCTGTGAATAAGCCTCATTTTAAAAAAATATTCATAACTTATTCAAACTTTGTTGCAATCTTTTCATTGTTTTAATGCTTCTCTAATGGAGTGCATAGAAATGCACACAATAGTTTACCTTACAGAACCAATGTGATTCAAATGGAACATTACTTCCTTATTTTTGTATTCAGGTCTCAATATGTTGTTTCATACTATGACACCATAAAAAACAGGCTGTTCGGCCCCTCGAGCCTACTCCGCCATTTAATGATATTGTGGCTGATCCGACATTCCTCATGACCATTTTCATGTAATCCCTGTAACGCCGATCCCCTACTGATCACAAATCTATCTATTTCAGCCCTAAATATACACAAAGACACTTCACCCACAGTTGTCTGTTGCAAGGAGTTTTAAAGACTCACAATTCTCTGAGAAGAAATTCTTGATTATTTCAGTCTTAAATTGGCACCCCTTTATTCTGATACTATGCCCCCGGTCCTAAACTCTTCCACAAAGGGAAACATCCTCTCAATATTTACCCTGTCAACCCCTTAAGAATCCTATATGTTTCAATGAGCTCACCTCTTCACTGACTACAGTCCCAACCTGTTTAATCCTTGCTCATAAGACAACTCCTCCATACCAGGGATCATCCTAGTGAACCTTCTCTGAATGAAATGATATCTTGCCTTAAATAAGGGAACCAAAACTGCTCACAGTATTTCAGAAGTGATTTCACCAGCACCTTGTACAGTTTCAGTAAGTCTTCCCTACTCGTTTTATCCAAGCTCCTTGAAATAAGCGTCAACATTCCATTAGCCTTCCTGATTACCTGCTGCATCTGTGTGCTAGCTTTCTGCGTTTGATGCACAAGTACTCTCAAGTCCCTTTGTGTTGCAGTTTTCCGCAGTTTTTTTCCCCAACATATATAGTTATATGATTCTTACTACAAATGGTTTTCTTACTTTCAGGACCAAAACAATACATTTGATCATTGTAGGAATAGCTAAAAAGAGATTTGCTGTACCACATAAAACAAATGCGTTGCGTATCCTGCAATAGAATGAGGGCTTTTCCTTTTGTGATTATTTGTGAACACACTTTTCCGGAGTATTTCAAATTGTCAGTGTGCCATACGGTCTATATTGAAAATACAATGAATTGTGGGAAACTGCAAGATTGTGTATTTTTCTAAAACAGTACTATACTTTCATCGTCTAAAAGTATCAGTTTTTTTTTAAATCTCAAATTGCATACTTGTATTTGAAATATTTAAATTGTGGATTCCACAAGTCTTCCCATTCTCTGTAATTTTCATAAATAGGTAATAAGACCATGCTAAGCGTGTCTTAATCACTTCTGCCACTGCTTCATCGTATTTCGACACTGTGTATATTTATCATAATTAAGAGCCTCACACAATAAGCTCCTTTTAACGTGTGGTGACTGTAGACAACAATAATAGCCATTCCTAATTACAGCCAGTGGATGAATCGGCCATTCTTCTGATTCCTGTCACATTACAGAATCACAAACGATTTGAAAAGATCAGTAGAATTTATCATACTCAGGACTACAAATTGAAACAAAAAGGTCAGAGGTGAAATGGTCTGGCATAGTTTGGAACCAAATCTCATTTGGTATTTACGTTACAAGCTTTGCTTAATAAAGTGTCAACGTTGGTTATTTTCAGTGGGTGTTGAATAAGGAAGTTCTTTGCTGCTTGGCACTGTAGATTTTCTACCACATGCTCCCAAATAAGATCTTCTTCTTGATCAATTTATCTTGATGCTCATTCCTTTTACTTGTCAATGTATCTGAAAGTCTTTTTCTTCCTAACTGAGCTGAGGGACACAACTGATCTGATCATTAAAGTTAACAGTGAATTTAATTTTAAGGTCAGTGTTATGTCATTAAACAGTTTCATTTGTTGAAACAGAATGTGTATTTTGAGAGGATAGTCTACTTTATATGGATTAATGGGGAAAAGGGGCAGTTATACAATTAGTATAGCTCATATAAACTATGAGACCACATACCCTTTGCTTCTCATTGCTTCTGCTGCTGCTTCTGTTGTTAGTCAAGCCACAGCACTATTGACATTTCTCACCACTAAGCTACAAATCACACTAATGAACATAAAGGTATCAATTATCAACAAAATGCAAGTATTTTTAAGGCTATGATGTATTTCACTGGAAATATCTGAAAGAAACAGTGCAAGATAATGGATGTCATTTTGTATTGCACACAATGTATCACAAAATACTTTCTTTTTGTTAAGTACAGGGTCACTATACTATGGCATGGAATGCATGATTGTAATGGTATAATTTAGTTACTGTTATAAATGAATGTTGCTTAAAGCAGTTGAATATAAAATTTTAAAAATTCAACATAGCAAACAAAATTCATTAATTGAAATGGTAGATTGTACTTAGAAAATGTCTTCATTTAATCTTAATGATTATTTCCTTAATTCACAAAATTAACAATAAATGGATGTAAAATGGATGAAGTCTGAAAGGTAGTAAATATAATTTATGGACAATAGTTCATTTAACTTGCCTGCAGAATGTTAAACAGTTTATTCTTGTACTGTCTTCTGTTTCCATCTGCAGTGAGGCTTTCCAGTATTTCTCAACATTACATACATAAAGTAACAGAGGCCCTCATTGAATCATTGATCTCTGTCTGCCAAAGCTATGTCAGGGCTTTTTAGCAAAATTCCTTGAAACATCTCAGTGGAACAAATCCCAACTGAGATGCGCACAATTTGCTTCAAGAACAAAAGATCTTGCATTTATGTAGCTTATCTAAAACCTTTCAGTCAATGAAGCACTTTTGAATTGTAGTCATAGTTGTAAAGTAAGGAGTAAATGAGGAGGAAAATTTGCTGGATGTAAAGGGTCCTGTCTGATGTCCAACAGGAGAAGGAGAATCAAACTTGGTACTGGGTCAGGTCATATCACAAGAACATCTACATAAATTAATCTGGTTTCCTGAAAAATGTATAAATCACTTTACGACCTTGCTAGGTGTATGAGGTTAGAATGTGAAAGAATGGAATGTGAAAGATATAAAGATGAGGATCAATGATTGTAGGCAGAATGAAACCAGAAGTAGACAAGATGGTCAATTGAATATCAGTGAAGATTTTTTTAACCATTGCACAGAACAGTTGTACATATAGTAAAAATCAGCCTTAAAAGCCACCCTTATAGAAACATTATAGATCTACATTGATTTCAATTATGATAATAACGATTACCAAAGAATTGCTCAACTATAAACACCAAATGAAATGTAGCTTTAGGTGCACATTTCACAGACTGGATTTCAATAAGTTTCAAAAGTCAAGCATTACAAGCAACTCTAGAATGGGAGCCATTTCCTGCTTACCACATGGTTCTAATGTCCCAGCCTCGAATAGCTGTGTCATTCGCTGTGGCAAGTTGTGAGCAGTTGTGATGAGGACTCCAGCAGCCAGAAGTAAACTTTAACTGACCTTTTCCTTTCAAGGTTGTAGAACATGAGAGCTAAAAGATCACGCACAAACAAACAGAAATGGAAAGACGATGAACGACAATTCAGAAACCAGATAGATGAACTCACTATCTAGGAATCTATAAAGAACAGCATTCTTGCAACCAGATCTTGGTAAAGCAATAAGAATCACTATAACAATCTTTAAAATTCAAAAATGGTAAGCCTTGATGTGTTCAGTCATAACAAATAACAGAAGCTGTCAAGACTTTTTCACGTCAACAATATTTTACTGTTGCAATCCCCCCACTGCTATCACTATGAGCTCTTGATAGATTATGCAAATATAAAACTACCACGATGAAAAACAGATATAACAGCATTTAAATTTATTTCACAAATCCCACAATTATTATTTTATGGAATTCCTAAATCTAAGTCAGTTATTCATGGCCCTCTTTACCATCCATGGGTTATGATACTATGGCAATTATAATTCATTAAAATGATTTTAAGACATTACCAGCCTACAACGTCAATAACTAATGGCATTTATGAAGTATAAACAAACTCAAACTTTGTATACTGGCTTTACGTGACTGTGACATTAGGCACTATTAGGAAATTTTGCTTGCAAAATTGATTTTAAAATACGTGAGGGTTAAAAATTAACCATCTTTATCATCGGAGATAGTAGGAACTGCCGATGCTGGAGAATCTGAGATAACAAGGTGTAGAGCTGGATGAACACAGCAGGCCAGGCAGCATCAGAGGAGCAGGAAAGCTGACGTTTCGGGTCTGG